TTATTCCTGCAGGGTATCTGATTACTGGTAAGGCATAGCTGTTTATTGCACGGATCTTGTTCTTGCCATTGAGCTGGCTTCTCAGGACTTGCCTTATTTGTTGAAGGTATTTGGCTGTGGCTCCTTTCCTTGTGACCTCATCGAGGTTGCCATTTGCTTGTGGTATTCCCAGGTACTTGTAACTGTGCTCTATGTCTGCTATTGTTCCTTCTCGGAGTGAGACCCTTTCTGTGTGGACGACCTGGCCTCATTCTTGAGTCGGTATCCGTAGCCAGTCTTGTTGATGATTTGGCTGAGGGGCTTAAGGCCTACGTAGAACAGCAGTGGGGACAGAGCGTCTCCTTGGTACATGCCACATTTGATGGACACTTGTGCAAGTGGTTTGTAGGGTGGTTTTCCACCCTTGAAGCTAATTATATCTGGAAGATTTTCTTTGCAGAATAGGTAAGATAATTTACACCCCTTGTGCTTCAACAATGCCTGCAGCTGTTGGAGTTATCCTCCACAAATCTGAAGGAGTAATGATCACACTCAAACCAGCAATTAGCCTTGTGTTTTCTTCACCTGTTAAGCTGTGCAGCAGGGCATTTGTTTGAAATGGGATAAAGACACTGAGCAAAAACAAGACCAACTACCAACCATTCACAGAAGGGCTTGCCATACACCCTCCCCTAAAAGTACAAATATTTTAATGACTGCCTTGTAAAAAATATTCATCAACCACAAATTTAGCACACATATTATGGGCCTTTGTTTTGACCGTTGCTGAAACCAGAGGAACACAGATAGAGTCCGTACCTAACAGAATGTCCCGTCACACTCATTAACCCCACTGAGTCGGTATTAAAGCTTCATTGTCATTCAAAAACCAGCAGGACACTCGAACTGCAGCGATACTGGAGCTGTTCATTCAAGCATGTGTGTGTTGTGTGTGTGTGTGCACTCACCGTTAAACACAGCCTGCCCCTCTGCCATCTCTGACTCAGTTTTAGTGTAGTATTCCTCTTGTGAAAAGCCCTTTGTGCATGGCAACCGATCCTGCCTGCTTGACGACAGCTTGGCCAGAACAGCAACCTGCAGATAGAGGAAAAAGATGAGAGGAAGAAAATCATTCATCCAGCTGCAAAATGTGCTGTTAACCTGATAAACATCTTTCTCTGTTCAAAACTTAACCTAAATATGTCAGCCAATGAAAACGCGTCTGCAACTGGAACTTAGCCTGGTTGGACATTTTTTTCATTAATTCCTCCATCATGCAACACTGAGGCACAATAACATGAAACGTAAATCCTGCTAAGGTCCAGTCAGACACCATTATTAATCAGCAGGACCACCAGCAGATAACTGGGTCAATTATTTCACGCATAATAAGCATATAGTAGAAGTATTCTCTGATCTAATTCCTTTTCTTGGTTGGAAGAATAGGAGTTTCTGGGTTGTTAAATAAGTGTAGGTAAGTATCTTCTGGACTTCTGGGTTGCTGGTTGAGAACATAGCAGCAGTCTGCTAGCTCCACAGAGAGGTCTAGATCAGGCTTGAGTGTGTGAGGTCTGTGCTTCTATGATTAAAGTAAGGATCCTGTTTAACTTCTGCTTAAGTCAAAAACTTGAAAAGGTCACTTTCACTTTGCATGTCAGAGTGTGTTTGTATGGGATTGGAAGAAATTAGGTTGTGGGGGAGATAGGGTAGATGGCCTGGCTTTTATCACTTCCAGAATTAACAGAAACTGTTCTAATGACACACTCACACACACAATCTTTGCAACATTTTGCCAGAATTCAGCTGGCATGGTTTTTTTTTTACTTTTTATTTTTTTATTTTTTTTTTTAGAGTTTTTAAGATAACAGAATAAATTAAAAATGCCTTCTGTGCTGATGCATCATAACCAAATTGTCAAATTGTAAAAAACTCAAACTACTGCATAGATTTTCTGTAGAACATAGCTCCAAATTATTCAACAAAAATCCACCTATTCACAGATTTTTTGCTGAGCATATCTAAAATATTCAAAAATGCAGCGTGGGTAGCTGAAATACCTAAGCTCAATACTACATGACTTGCTACTGGCTGGCATTTTCAAAGCAGCCAATCTAGAAGCACCATTCATTTTCCTTGGTGCCGATTGGTCGTACCCATAAGAGTGACAATGAGGAACACTGTAGATGTCAGCTTCTTCAGTAGTGCCAAAACGTTTTTCACTGATAATGAATATTGCAGTGTTTGGTTTATTAAAATAGGCTGTAATAAATATTTTAGAGCAGCTGTCTTTTAGCTGTGGTCTCTAACCCCTGCAAGTAAAGGGTCTACTGTGTGCCTGTTTCAGGATTTTCCATATTGTGATCTTAACAAAACTAGACCTATTTTGCTACTTTATGTTTTGCTTCTATCTTCTGTGCCTACATTTTGAAGCTCTACTTCCAACATGGTTATGATCAGGAGTGTACTGTATATGTGTCACAAAACAAGGAAGTAAGAAAGAAACAACCGAGAAGATAATTCGGATCTAAAAATAATCCAGTTGTAACATAACACTACAATTTTAATCATAAAAACAGAAGCCTTCTTATATCTGTCTTTAATTAAAAGTTTACAGGCATTTGCAGCAAAGTTCAGATTTCATCCACTTGAGTTACATAACAAAGTATAAGTATACAGATCAGTAGAACTTGGAGCAGAAGGTTTTTCTGAGATTATGTTTTAATGCATCTGGATGACATTCTCTTCAGGAGGGCTCATCAAAGGGATAAAGTGAGACATTCAAATGCCTTTGAGTTAAACTCTGTTCTGTAGTTTGAAGTGAGTTGATACCCAGCTGAGAGCATGTTAGCTTGCTCTTTGTGGATAAGATGATGTGTAGACTTCATGACAGGAACCCTCAACTTTTTGAAATTCTAACACTGCAGGGAAAAAAAGATGATCAGAAAGACAGAGAAAAAAACAGAACCATCTCCTCCTCAGAGCTAAAGCACAGAAAATGTATGCATCTAGTTGCTGATGTTACTTTAGAAATGGGAATCAGTTTACAAGAGTCTAAGCTTGTCTGTTCTTAGGCAAAACACACACAAAAGTTCATGAACCTTTCAGTAAGACAGGAAAAATGTCTTTGTGTTAGTTTATTCATCCTGCAGTCTGAATAGACTAACACCAAGGAATAATTGGAGGAAAATGCCAGAATCTTGTAAGCCTGATAAGATCATCATAACCGTAAATTACAGGGGTGGGAGACAACATCATGTTTGAAATTTTGTGCACTGGTACATTGTTTCTATCAAGAGGTCAGGACCAAAATTCCAAAAGGTTATTGTGAGAAACAAAGACAATGCACAAGAAGTATCAGGTCTGCGCATTTAGAATTTGCCTTTTCCCACCAGCTACTAGTAGCAAAGCTGGATCTGGCTCATCTCTCCCCTACACAGTTCAGGTGGTTTTTCATTACAGTTGAGAAACAGCTCTAGTGGGTGGGGTCATCATATAGCTGGGTGCTCCCAGAGCAACATGAGCTGTCATGACACAAACAAAATACAACAATGGAGGACATGGAAGTTATGCTGTTCAATCTGCCATTTTCTTAAAAATTCTAAATAAACTCAGTCGCTGTTGTGACTTATTGTAAGGGAGTCACTCTTATGACACAACCAGATACTCCACCCCCAAGTAAGACTTTTTTGTGATGTTGCATTTTCTGACCGAGTTGGCATGCTTGGAACCCTCCGAGTTCCAAGAACACCAAAAAAAGAGCTGTTACCACGTGACAAGATACATCTAGTATTTTTGACCATCCAGCTTTGTTGATAAGCAAGTCTCAAGGGTTGGGATACCTTTTGGACTTCACTCTAAACTGATTCAAGTTAAAACTCCAGCATGGTCCATCCTAAATGGACAAATTACTTCCAGCTAAAAGTGACATGGTGATAAAACTAAAAGATCACTTGAAGGAAACTTTTTAAAAAAATATATAATCTAACATTTTTCTGGCATTTAAGAAACAGTAAATTCTTTAGTACAGCCCTAACAACAGATTCTATTGGAGGTAAGCTAAAGGCCATTTCTGCTGTAATTTTGAAAACTTTAGTAAAGGACAAAAACTTAATTAATTCCCTTGTTTGTATGTAGAACCTGCCGATATTCATAACAATCATCAAATAGGATGAAATATTTCATTTCAAATATTTAATAAAGCATAGGAATTTTAGCAGCAATAGTTACTGGTATGTAAACTTAAATTATTGTCCAATATAAAAGAGAAATTTGCTTAGTCTTTACTTGCAACTTGACAGAATACATATTTTACGCATCAAAACTCAGCAATTTTCTCAGCTTTAATTCAAAACATATTTTATAGAAATCTGGTAAGAATTTATATAAAAATGAGGGCACTAGGACCATTGTTGTGACAGAATCCTGCTCATCTCACATTGGAATAGTCTGGTTTTGTGGTCCTGACTCAATGCATAGAAATTATAGGTGTGCCGATCGGTCGGCCACCAATCATAATCGGCTGATTTTCATGAAAAAGTGTATGATTGGTGATCGCCGATCACTGTCTGTTGTTGCCGATCACCTGTATGTCACTTCAAAGCCTGCCTGTGCAGCTTATCTCTTCTTTTCTTCACACTGCGTAAGCACGTGGCAACAAATCTTAAGCAATATTGTGTGGAATTTCCACGCTCAGAGTGAATGGGGACGTTTGCGTGTTGCGGTGGAAAATGACCTCGGGGCTGAAGCAGGTCAAAATGCATCAACACAACAAATCTAATATGACATTTAAAGAACAAACACTTGACGGAGTTTGGTTATATTGAGGCACACTGCAGGAAAAAAAAGACATCGGGAGCGGTCAGACAGCAGGTAAAGGAGCGCACAACGACCAACATTCAGCCGGAAGGGCATGGCGGTCAGAAAGTTAAACAAATAACCCGATAAATAATTTAAGTCAGCAAGCTATAGGTGGAAGACGCTGGTTCTGCTCTCACTGTTGGAATACCGCAACGCACTACTGATAGTAATATTTCACAGCGCCGTTTCTCCTCCACCCAGCAGTGAACTCTCACACTAAACGTCTGCTTAAAGCTGCTGCATGTAACTTATACAAAAGCAAGATTTCACATATGCATTAAAACTTTCCCTGTCCTAACATAAGACAGATAATCTGGGGAAAATAATCGATCTCCTCTGTCCTCCTCTGATCTCTGTCTGTGTTCTGCAGAATTATTCCGGTCATTCAGAAACAATCAATCAGAACCAGCACCAAACAATTAGCCATGCTCTTTGGAAGTTTTGATTCAGTAACTCAGGATTGTTTATTTTGATGCAACCTGCATTTGACTTTAAATGAATGTGTCTTTTTGTCTTAGCATTATTTGATATAGGCAGATTTATTTGACTTATGCGTAATTTATGATACTTAGAACTGTTAATTATTTTACTGATTGTAGGCTTTTCAGTTGTCCTTTTTACTGAGTAGCTGCTGTGAGTGGCTCCAAGTATTTTGCATGTTAATGTCTAATTTAGGTGAATTTATTGCCAGATCATTCTTCCATTTTGTCTGATCACAAAGTAGCATTTATAAAAAGAAAAATGAACAGTCAATCCAGGTGATCGGCAGTGATTGAAATCGGCAGCAAAAAACATGATTGGAGAATCTCTAATAGTAAGCCTGCAGGACCGTCACTAGCTGTAGCGGCTGATAGGCCATGTCCAAACCAGTAATGCATATCAGTGGAGAAATCCTACAACCACTAAAATCTGATGCCACTCCATTTTTGTTTACATTTTGTGAAGCAGGAAGTTGTGCTCATTGTCTTCTTCAGAGGTTTTGTGTCAATTCCTTAAGTAGTTCTTGTTGCAGAGCCATGACAGGTGAGGGGGGAAGAAGTTTTTCAATTAGTTTGAATTCTATGACTCAGTGCATTGTGAAAGTGAAAAGCACCAGCTGAAAATGTAACAAATTTTGCAATTTTGATCCCTAATCGAACCAAGTCTACCAAACTATCAGGTGTGAAAACAATCTATATTTCTTATGACAAAACAAAAGGGTAACACTTTATTTGAAGGGGGGTGAATAAGACTGTCAT